TTTCCTTTCCATTTCATTCTTCGAATAAGGGAACATTGAATTTGTATACTTGGAAGTCTTTGTGACCTTCTTTTGAACTTCAAGAAAATTTCTATTTCTTTGTCCACCACAAACCATCCTTTTTGTGAGAAAATGATGAAATATTTCTCCTTTGAAGTCTGAATTACAGAGGGAATGAACTTGATGGTGATAAATCCCAATGTTGGAAAAAATGCTAGGCAGCCCCTAGGTGTGTGTGTGTGTGTGTTTTTTTTTAGGTTTTTTGTTTCTTTTTTATTTTTTTTGGGTGGGGTTGGTGGGAGGAAAAGAGAGAAGAGGACTCTCAAAATCCATAAAGATTAAACACCAAATATTAAATAACTTAAATACAAGAGCATATGCCACAAGTCCATACTCAAACTTTTATAGGCTCCAATCTCCATAGTACATACTCTGTACTATAGTTATCGAGATCCACCTATCAAGGGGTCACTTTGGAATCCCGATATTGTGCTCTGGGGAAGGGGTTCTCTCTCCTCCGCAATTCTTAAATTTTGGAATCTTGATCCTTCCAATTAGGGATCGAGGTCCTGAGTTGCACAGAAAATAGATTCCCTAGCATTATAATATAGTATGGTAGTATAATATAAGATAGCAATGTGGTATCATATAGTAGTATAGTTTAGCAGTATAGTACAGTCTAGTAGTGTGGTATACTACTATACACTATATGGTGAAGTATATATTGTATATATAGTTGTATATAGTAGATTTAAATATACTACCATATAGTATGGTGTAGTACAGTAGAATAGTAGCATATAGTATACTTTAGTACTTAAGTAGTAAAGTGCTCTAGGGTTCCTTAATTTTTAACCAAATGGTGGTCGGTCCTGTACAATTTATCATTCGGTCTTGAGCAATTTTGGATTGAGTTCCTTCACATATTTGGATAGAGATCCCTAGATTTCCAGGGTGTACGGACCTTGATCCCTACCATAGGGAGCTTTTTGCTTGACGATACATATCCTAGTTGTGATTCGTTCCGATGTCAGAACAATACTCCGTACACTTTTCAAAATGGCGTAATCCAAAGTTTAAACCCGCATTTTAGTGAGAACTGAGAACGTCAGAAAAGTATGAGTGTACAAAAGATGAAAAGAAATAAATAGGAATTTAGATTTCAATCATCATCATGTTCTTGATAATCATCAGCTTCATCCCCAACTCCTCCATATTATTCCAGACTATCCTAATGGCCCTCCTCAGTTTCTTGTGAGTCGGCCTCCCCTTCCTTATCTATCTCCTGTCTCCTCCTCTGTGAACTAGGAGTATATGTCATTGATCTAGTAGTCCTCCTCGGGTTGGAAGCGGGCCCTGAAGTCTCCTGAACCATATCTCACGTCAAACCCTCACTAGGGAAGGCCTCTTCAGTCCCAGGATCTTCAACCAATCACTCGTTGGAGCTTGGAAGCCTTTAGATGCAGTGACATCTGTTTTCTGGCGATCGTCAAAATGTCTCTAGCTCTGATTATACTTGACAAAGACTAAATCATTGAGCCTCTTTTGTTCAAGCCTGTATCTTCTCTGTGTACACTTGTAGGAAAATTATGAGCTACAATTTTAGTAGTATGCCGATGATATAAATCACTAAATCTATCATAGTCTAAAATTTTTACCATCTAAAAAGAGCTCCAGTTTCGCCCACAACTAGATGAGGTGCATTTTAATCTCAATACCCTTATTGCCATCCTTTGTAAACTTGGAGCACTACTCCCATGTTGGCTTCACCATGGGGCTGCATAAGTGCAAATTCAAATTGTATGCAAAGGACAATTACTAGAGGTCTATAATATGATCAAATTTAATATCTACATTCCTATGAAATTATGCAAAATGAATTAATCTTAAATAAATTATTCCATTCAAATAGATTACTTGGATCTGATTTAGTTCTTTGTCTCACTGTCATGACCTTGCTAAATGATTTCAATGCATACTTGTACAAAATCAACTTAATTGCAGATATCTTATCTTGGAAATCGCTGTTTGGGACATTCATTATGGCCTTCCATTTATTCAATCCTTCCTCTCAAAATCCAGGCCTGCATAAGAGAACTTTGGGTTCAAATAGTGCCCAGCGGCTTGTAATGGCTGATAAAGCTGGATATCCTGTTTTGTATCTATGATCTCCCATATTGGGCCATACGTACTCTCGTCATGGCTCATGCCTCTGTTATCTCCCTCTTTGCTCCTAGTGCATCATATATAAAGCCCATAGCGGGCTTCACCTCACTATTGACCAATCTTAAAACTTTCAATAAGGGTGGAAATGCTTTACTAAGTACACTACCCTCCTCCAAAAACTCTTAGGCAAGAATATTTCTACCCATTTCCTTTTTAGCATGCTTAGACCACTTGTATTTAGACCACTTTTCTGAAGTGAACATCGGTCTCAGTTTCTCTTCTTGAATATACCCTGTAGAATTTGGAAAGAAGTTGCAAATCTCGTTTCCCCAGTCGTCTCTATATCCCTCTTCTCACTGAACTTGCATATTATGCTTAGGGTGTGCCACTAGAACAGAACATTGTTACAGCCTTAGCCCTAGTAAGTGTACCCGATACCTAGGCATTTCACCATTCACCTCAAGCATGAGGTCTATGTAGTATGCTGCACATGAGATTCCAAAGATACGAGGCTGGTTTTGGTGCAACAAATTAGCAGCAGCCGATATATTTGATGTAGCATTACTGGTTACCACTTAAAATGACGTTCTAGTCCCACCCCTTGTCAATTAAAGTAAAAATGAATTGTGCTTCATGTACATTATTAGATGCATCAATAGACCTCAAAAACATTGTCCTTCATAGACAATTCACCATTAGGTTCATCACATTCCTACTCGTCACTCCCTTGTGACCCCACATTGGACCTACGCATCCTTATGGATCTTAAGGTGCTCCTTTGTGAGCTACCTCCTTTTGAAGCAATGACTCCTGAAAGTCATATGGGGTTGGCCTTTCAACCCTAGCCCAAATTGGCCCATTACTTTGAAGCAATGCCTCCTTTTTAAGTTTTTTGGGTTGGGAAGGAGGTGGAAGAGAGTTGGGGGGGGAGTGGGGGTTGTGGGGAGTTCCATTTATTTGAGGCTTCTTCATCTGATCATCATCCCCATCATTGTCATAAACATTCACCCCTGCGCTCAACTCTTCCATACTTTTGCTGTCTGCTATTTTTGCCATCCATAGTCAAGAATCTCCTTCCTTATTTCTCCCAGTACCTCCTTACATGGCAACATCCCCCTTATTCCGATGTGGTGTTTCTGATATCCATTAATCCCCGCATTTGTATCTTTACCACAAAAATTGCATCGGAATTTGCTTTATCGCTTTTATCTAGTCAAAAACCATATTTCCATCCTGGATCTCCACTCCCATTTGTACCCATTGAAGACATTTGGAGAAAAATTAAAAAGATCTCAAATATGAAAATAAAAACCTATCCTTGTTACCCAATATTGGATCTTCAACATTTTGGATGAGTATGAACTTCTAAATCACCCTTAATTTTTCATTTTGGGGCTTCAATGCCTCTAAAATGAGCTGTGGGGGTTTTGAATAGCCCCCTAGTCCGTTTTTCCCCCCTACTAGGGGCAAAAAATATAGGGCATTTTCCACCTTGCGCAAGGGCAAAACCTGGGTGGCTGCCCAGGTCTGGGTGTTGGGCACCCTCTAGGCAGCGAACAGGCTGCCCAGGCAGGTGCCTAGGGGCACCTTGCCCAAAACTACCCACCTAGGACTGGGCAGCTGCCTAGGCTGTAGGCAGGCTGTTTTTTGTTTCCATGATAAAGCCATAGAGAGAATGGGTACATAAAGAGCCTCGTACCAGAGTGAATGCATTCGTGATTGTCTTTGTGTGTGTGTGGATGTGTCTGAGAGAGAGAGAGAGAGAGAGAGAGAGAGAGAGAGAGAGAGAGAGAGAGAGTAGTTAGTTCGTTACGTGTAGTACGTAGTAGTAGGAGGTAGGTACGTACGTAGTAGTAGTAGTACGTAGTTATTAGTTAGTTACGTTACGTTACGTTACGTACGTAGTA